ATAGAAAACTAAGATAACAACCATAAAGAGCACATCAAACAGGAGTTTTATATAATTAAAATAATATGATGAATGGAAAGGTAAGACCAAAATATCATATGAAAGTTGGCAAATCTATCTCTTTGCAGCTAATTCAAGCACTATGGCAAAGCAGAGGAAACTTCCACAATGTACTGTATACTCACACAAGATAGAGCTTGTTGACCTCCTTGTAGTATTTATCTTCAAACAGTGAACCAGCTTATATTGCATTAGGCCAGGGATATAAAGGAAAGATTTATCGGCCTTTGCTTGAGACAAACGCACAGAGGTTACAGCATTTGGTCTAGTTTCTCATATTATTATAGCATGATTAAATAGTATGTAAGCAGAATGTTACAGAAGCTAGGATTTTTCAAACTTCAAGAAAAGTATAGAAAAAATTATCAGAGAGCTTTTAGAGATGTAATAATAGCATCATTATTAATAACATTAGAAAACCTTTTTTCCTGAAAATTCTTGGAAAGGGAAAATCGGGTGAAGGCACATCAACAACCGGTGGCTGAGCACTTGTGGAGCCATATGTGGCAGATGCAGTTCACAAAATACAATAAAGCAAACATCACATTATCTCAGTGGCATTGGGTTAAAATATACCTGACCATATGTAAGAATTCAGAAAACAGCTCTAATTAGGAAAGTAATAAGTAGACAATTTATCATTACTTATTAGATGAGTTGGGTAGGAAGGAGAGGGATGAAGAAAGAGACAAAGAATATAAAGATGGAAAACAGATGGAGAAAGAGGATGTCACAACACAGTACAAATTTTCAAAGAAATAGGAAGAATTAATTTACAGAGTTTAGAATTCATCCATGCTTTAGGGAGAGGGTGAGACGTTCTTTACACATCTTAATGTGGTTTTATCCTATCTATAGGTTGTACACCACAGTCTATTAATTCTAATTTTCCTTACAACTTACTGGTAAATTTTATCCATCATAGATGCCACAAAGTAATATCAATATGAAAGTTACTGGTGAATGAACTCATTAGTTAGGGTATTCATGTAGAGATTAGCATAAAGATTGTTGAAGACTTAACATTGTAAACTCAGCAGTATTAATTGCTCATTTACATTCTTTTACTTTAGCAGGAGCATTTGAGTCATTTGGTAAAGTTTTCATTTTTGTGACTGTGTGTATGCTGATATGTGTATTTGTACTTTCAAACATCATTATGTGCATTGTACGTTTTATCTCCCATTCTCTCTATCTCTGAAGGTCATATCTAACAAAGTATTGAACACCTTATTTCCAAGATACAAATGATTAGAAGACATCCTGTGTTGAAAGCAAGGTGAGAAACAGGGTGAAAGAAGGCCTCTTGCCCATTATCAAACTGTACGACTGCATTCTTGGCAAGCTGTGTGTGTGTTTGGCAAGAAACAGCATCTCGAGTATCTAGTACAATAAACCCTATCTTATTTCGGGCTCTCCGAGTTACCATACACAATAAGGGCACCAGTGTTGAATGTTTTCTTTTTAACATTTGAATCATGTAGACTAGAAAATCTTCTCTAGGTAATGAAATTGTTTGTTGTTACTTGAGGTGTACATAATGTCTTTGTTTTTTTTCTTCTTATTTTTCTGTTCATATGTTTTTACTATTTTCATCCTTGCTATTCCACAGTAACAGATACAATTATATAGGTAAAGGAATGAAAATTAGAGATTTCATATATGTGTGTGGTAACTGCTTACAAGACATTCACACATCCATCATTAGGAGAACTTCTTTACATATGTGACTGTCACTGGCCTCTACACCTGTGGCCCTCCACCAAAGGGAAAATAAACCTCTACCAAATGATAGAGCATATAGATATCTCATTTATTATTTTTACTTAAAAAAAAGAAATGTGTGCACATGTGAAGAATATGTGAAATGTATAATATATATATTCATAATGAGAGAGAGAGAGAGAGAGCAAGTGCACATACATACATAGATACAGTAAATACCAATTAGTATCAGGTACTGTATGTCTGTTTATCCATGTTTGTTAAAAAACATAAAAGAAGAAAAAGGAAATGATAAACTTGATAAAAACTGAATAACTTCTGAGTATTTATTTACCAACTGCTGCAAAGCTGGTTCTCGGTAATGAGCTATTGATTACTTGTGCCAGTTTGCCTTGCTAACACATAACAGTATAGCACTAACTACCTGTGCAAGTGTGTACTGCTCTTTCAGGTGTGTATTATCGTCGATAATAGGGTTCATGACCAGTATATGTGTTGCAATATGTGATAGTGTAGTTCTTCATATAAGTGATTTTTTATTATGCTCTTCTTAAGTGTTTTGTTTTTAAAAAATCTCCTTTAGGTATATTTACCTTGAGTTTCCTTTTCTGTTCCTTTTTTCCCTACTTAGTTATATCATACTCTTGGTTTGCTTCATCCCTTGTCCTATAGGGTACACACCTTTGATTTCTTTTTCTCTCTTTTTGCAGAAGAATGAGAATGGACTGTAAAGTTTATGTGGGCAACCTAGGCAACAACGCGGCAAAGCATGAGCTGGAGTCTGCGTTCTCTAAATACGGGCCCTTAGTCAATGTGTGGGTCGCCCGGAACCCCCCTGGGTTTGCATTTGTGGAGTTTGAAGACCCAAGAGATGCAGAGGATGCTGTGCGTGCCCTTGATGGAACGTGAGTGGCATCTACTTTCACTTCCTTTAGTTCTTAGTTGTTGCTTTCCATTTTGAAGAAGTTTGCTTTTTCTTGTCCTCTCTCTCTGTCTTTCTTTTCTTTTTCTTTTTTTTTTTTTTTTTTTTCTTTTTTTGTTTAGTGATATTGTATCTTCATATTTACTTTTGCCAACCATACCTTCTTTGTGAGTTAAAGTTGGCTAAAGCAGCAAGCCTCAGACTTTTTATAACAAAGTTAAGATAGACCCAAGTCCATAGTTCTTGATGAGAATTATCTGTAGAGTGTAAAAGTAGTTAGATTTTTTTCTCGTGTGATAGCACCTTAATTTTCAGTAAATGACAGTTCTCTCTTAGATGCCCAGAACATATATATAGCATTGAATGTTACAATATTCAAAAGCCTGAGTTCTTAGCTGCTCTTGGTTTGCATTAACATCATTTTATAACTTTTCCCGCAAACGTTTTATTTTATATATATAGTCTGCAGAAGCTGTGAATTATAGTACTGCAGAAGAGTCGTAAAATACAGTGTAGATACACAGCATAGAATTAATTCAGTAAAATTGTGTCCAGGCCCTTTTGCTCTTTATATATTACAAGGAAATGATAATTGTTTCAAAAAGTTGTAATTTTGAGCAGTAATGAGCGTATTTTTTTTCTTTATCTTTCTTTCTTTCTTTCTTTCATTCCATTTAATTTTGCATTTCTGCTGTCCTTGTCTTTATTTTTCCTGTTTTTAAACTTGTATTATGCTTGTGTGCTTTATTTAATTTTTTTTGTTTAGTGATATTGTATCTTCATATTTACTTTTGCCAACCGTACCTTCTTTGTGAGTTAAAGTTAGCTAAAGCAGCAAGCCTCAGACTTTTTATAACAAAGTTAAGATAGACCCAAGTCCATAGTTCTTGATGAGAATTATCTGTAGAGTGTAAAAGTAGTTAGATTTTTTTCTCGTGTGATAGCACCTTAATTTTCAGTAAATGACAGTTCTCTCTTAGATGCCCAGAACATATATATAGCATTGAATGTTACAATATTCAAAAGCCTGAGTTCTTACCTGCTCTTGGTTTGCATTAACATCATTTTATAACTTTTCCCGCAAACGTTTTATTTTATATATAGTCTGCAGAAGCTGTGAATTATAGTACTGCAGAAGAGTCGTAAAATACAGTGTAGATACACAGCATAGAATTAATTCAGTAAAATTGTGTCCAAGCCTTTGTGCTCTTTGCATATTACAAGGAAATGATAATTGTTTCAAAAAGTTGTAATTTTGAGCAGTAATGAGCGTATTTCTTCATAATGATTGATTCTGATGAGGAATGGGTTTAGTTTTAAATTTTATGATAGTAGTTCTTAGATCTTATTCCTTGTTTTCAAGCACTACTTTTGTCCCAAAAAAAGTGTCACCCAACTAGGCACAATATAAAGATATCTTGCAATGCTCATACTTTTCCAATAACTGCATCCATTTTTTTCCACTTTCTTACAGGCGCCTGTGTGGTGTGCGTGTAAGAGTTGAAATGTCCACTGGCCGTTCTCGCCGCGACCGGTACCGCTCCCCCCCCAGAAGAGGCAGAAGATCCAGGTAAAGAACATGATCATTGGCGGCTTTGTCTTTTTAGCTATGGACAGTGGCAGTCATTGAGTTAGTTCAGTTACAGGGGAAAGAGTAATGGGGGTTTTCTTTTTCCTTTCTTTGTGTAAATATATAACTTTTTTTCGTTTTTCTTTTTTCATTCTTTCTTTCTTTTTTAACTTTTTGTGTATTATAGGTTTGAAAGTTCTAAATTTACTGGTTAAAAAGTCTTTTCTTTTTAGTCTCATTATCCAAAATGTGCTTATTTTACGTAGTTTCAGTTATGGCTAATTGTGCAATAGATGATAGGCTCCAGTTCTTGCTAATGGTGGTCAGTTGTCAAGATCTCACAGTATCTCAGGAATTTCTAATCTTTTTCCCCCCTTTCTCACCCTCTCTCTCTCTCTCTCTCTCTCTCTCTCTCTCTCTCTCTCTCTCTCTCTCTCTCTCTCTCTCTCTCTCTCTTTCTCTATTGATCTGCCTTTTTCTCTTTCCCCCTTCTCTCAGTGCTTGTTTGATTTTTTTTTTTTTTTTTTTTATGAATTTTTGTTTTCCATAGATTTTCTTTTGCTTAGTTCTGTGTGACATTATCCTTTTTATTTTCTCAGTGTCACATTATCAAATGAAAGTTGGCAGAATTACTTTGAATACCTTCATTAATATATTGATATTTTTTCTTCTGTTAAAGGCCAAACATTAAGTAATGAATTGTAAGTTCATAGAATTAATTTC